GAACATGAAATCCACCTAATTTTTCCTTTCTCTCAGCCACATTTTTCGTACCACAGAACCCAATAATTGTTTCTCCTGAGATTACAAGGACCAAAAAAAAAAAATTTGATGGGATCTTTGCATTGAATTCAGGCGACCTATCCGCCCCTGCCAGAACACGAGGGCACTCGAAACATTTTTGTTTGATAGGTAAAGAATTGGCCATAAGATAGGCCTTAAATCGTAACCAGTTTCTTCAAAATTATCAATATCAGAACTAATTAGAGGTTTATTATTAGAACATGCATCTTCATCAATACCCTCGCTTTCATATGAAACAATAAGAATCTCCTGATGTTGAAATATTGAAAAAACCAATTCTGACACGTGGGCAAATTCGGGACTCGAGTGAGAATAGAGGATTTTTTTTAAACAAGAAAAAGTTCGGGCATAGTTGAGATTGGATCTAAAGTTGGGGGTTTTTTAGAGAATTAATACCCACAAAATTGGGCTAAGTTATTATGTCCCTCTACTTTGCATGTATATAAGCAGCAACATTAACTAAATCATATATTTTCCAATTTAGAAAAATCCCATTTATCTTGCCTCCACGAGTGTCGTCGGATTCTCTACTTTGGATAAGACTCTCCATCATGCCATTTGCCCCCCCTTTGTAAAATTATCATCTGAGAAGGGAGAATACAATACACATCAAAACCCTAAGCAATTATCATGCAAGAAAAAGGCACGATTAGTCCTCGAAAAACCCAACTAAAACCCCCCCACAAGAATGGGGGTTGATGGGATGTTTAATGGGGATCATCAATGAATGTCGTAAGTTCACATCATTCAGACACAAGGATTCTGAAAGTTCTAATCAACAGAAACCCCTTTTGCTTCCAATCTCTTGAAAATCTCAACCGGCACAATCGAGATGTCCTTGAACAAGAACACACCCCCAACGACATGTATTCTCATCACCCTTTTCCCCCCCTTGAGCAGAGAGGATGACAACCCATTGACAAGAAAGATCAACCACAGAGATGGAGAGAGACAGAGAGATAGAGAGAGAGAGATGGAGAGAGATAATGGGATTAGACACCTTGTGCTTAATTGCTATCCTCATTAATTTCGTTATAATAATCTCAAATTGCCCCCATCTAGTTGCGCTTGTGTGGACGCAACAGCTTTCCATGGCTCGATCGTGTGTAGGAACCCTTTGATGTTAATGTCCTAAAAGAACATGACCCACAATTCTCTTTTTTTTGTTTTAAAGAAAGAAAAAGATAACATCAACAGGAGGCAAGCCACGTTGGTGTCGAAGGACGAAAAGCCCTAGCACTAAACAAGGGTCAATTCCTCGTGACACTCTATGTATTCCACGCAATAATATTGAGCCATTGAAGCATTGGGTGCAACACGAGCACATGCTTGTCATCTCTCTACATTATTTCATTAATTATACGTCCGCCCCCCCAAATTTGATTATGCGGAATTAATAGAGGTTTTATTAGTTGTATAATGCAACCTTAGTCTTATTCATTTTTAGTGGTGTAGAATTCAGAATGTGATTGATGAAAGAGGCGAAGCATATGCAAAGATTAAAAAAGTAGAGGGAGGGGGCAGAAACTGTGGCGCCAATTTGATCACTTTCGAGTAAGGAAGGAGGAGCAATTAGGAGGGGATTAAGCAACTTTAGTGCTATCACAAAGTGCAGGATTTGACAGAGTCAATGAGAGACGTCTGTTGTCAAGCTTAATAATGCTGATCAGATATTGTGTCCTCTCCAAACCCTAGAATTATTGCAAATCCCCTTCCCTTTTTAGTTGTAGTGGGAGATGATAGTCAACTTTCATCATGCATATTGCATCACTTGACATCCTCTTTTAATCTGGATCTGATTAAGTCTCTCCTACTGATTATCTATCTTCCCACTTTTCTCCTTTATTCTTTTGGGTTAGAAAACGGGTTTGATTAAGCTCTTGAATTATGCCTGTAACGGGTAGTTACGAGAACGAAGGCGCATTTTCTTTCCTAACTTTTCCTTACATCGGTCCAGTCTAATCGAGGACCGACAAATCCATGACCTAACGAGAAAGATTCTTCATATCACGTCATCTTCTAACGGACATACAGGGCCCGAGACGGGCTGTTGACTAATTCCACTAATACGTCGAGTTATAAGCTTCATTAAATGGAGGGGGAAGTCGCACAAGAAAGGTTGCTTATAGGAATAAGCTTATATGTGGGACTCACGATTATAGTTATTAAATATAATGTTGCATTTGTTAGGGCTCGATAATATAGCAATGTATAGAATTTTTTTTTTTTTTTCAATTTCAAAACGTCTCAAGATTTTTCCATTGACATGTGATTGTGATGTTTGTGCAGGAGGGAGATAGCTCCAGACTATTGAGTCGAAGCGAGGTCGTGTTCTTTGAAAAGCGCAAGGCCCATAAAATAAAAAAATCCATAGCGAGGGTGGAGCTAAGAAGCCCAATCTTATTGGAAATAATTGTCTTCTTTTTTTTTCTTGGGATAATGACACAAACAGTCCCTGAACTTTGACTCAATGTACAATTTAGTCCATGAACTTTTAATTTGTTCAATGTAGTCCCTGAACTTTAACCTAATATTCAATTTGATCCCTGAACTTTTAATTTATTCAATGTGGTCCCTGAATTTTTAATATGTGTTCAATTTAGTCCCTGAACTATATGAAAATGTTCAATATAGTCCCTGCACTTGAATTAATGAAAGGACTACATTGAACATTTTCAAATAATTCAGGGACTAAATTGAACACATATTAAAAGTTCAGGGACCACATTGAACAAATTAAAAGTTCATGGACCAAATTGAACTTTAGGTTAAAGTTCAGGGACTACATTGAACAAATTAAAAGTTCAGGGACCAAATTGCACATTGAGTCAAAGTTCAGGGGCTGTTTGCATCATTTTCCCTTTTTTCTTATGATAATGTCTCTCTCAGCTCCATTATTGTTATTATTATTATTATTATTATGGTCCAGCTTAGCCAGATTCTCTGAATAAGACCTCAGAGGATGCACTTAACAAAAATCAGTACAGGGCGACCCCATTCAAGAGCAAATTGTTGAGTTGATTAGCATTTCTCATTTTTAAATGTGGGTTTCTTGGCCCTTGTTTTTCAGACATTCTAAGCATAACAATTTCCAAGATAAATGAAAGTGGGCCTCAAAACTTTACATTTAATTTACACCAAACATGTTATCCGTATCAAATAGATAAAAAAGAACTATGTTAAGAATTAGCTCAAAGTGCATAAACGCATGCTACATCAACAACTGTTGAGGCGCTCGCAAACCACTAAATATTTTCTCAGGTTAGAGAGAGGCTATAAAGTCAGATTTTGAGGACGAAAATAGACTTAATAACCGTCAAAACTCACCCCGAATAGGAAATTATGACCAATCGTGTCTAACAGATCCATATTTCTATCACGGAATAGCCTATTCAAAGAAAAAAAAAGCAAGGAATGTCAGCAAAGGAAAAGTTTTGATGAAAACCGATTTAGTGGTTTAGTTCGGTTTCAAATAAATTGAAGCTGGACTGAATTGTCAAATACCGGTTCGGTTCACAAACTAAATTGCCAAAAACACCCTATTCCATAAAAGCGAGGGTTCGATTTTTTTGATCCGGCGAGGCTCCAAACTCAATTTGGTTTGGCACGATTCAGCTCTCAACTCTACTTTGTTCAGGTCATCAGTTTGAACCGATCTTGCCCCTACTTGACCCCAAGCACGAAGCTTTTCAGTCGGGCAAAATCAAAGGATTGAATCGTTGCGTTAATTTATAGAAAACCAAATAAAGGTAAGTAACTCAAATAACATGCAGTAGTAATTCGAATGAAAGTTGGTAATTTTAAATGAGAGTGAGTAAATTGATAGTTTTGGTAAGTTATGCAAATAATACTTAGTTATTTCCGAAGCTGGCACTTTACAAATAAAATATATTTGGTTAAGTTACTCAAATTAAGCTTAGTAATGTCGTACTATAATAAATTATCGAGAGAAAAATTAACGAGTATCTCAACTTGAAGTTGGTAATTCGAATACCAGAGTTGGTAAATTTATATACTGGTAGTTTATGCAAGAAGAAAAAAAAAAGGAATAGTAAGTTACTAGAGAAGATGTAATCTACGAAGAACCGTGTTCATAAAAAATCAAAACGAGAGTCGATAAAACTTAGTGGTAACTTGATCTATTACAAATTGGTAAGCCACTAAAATTATGTCGACAAGCTGATAAAGAGTTCGTAAATTTAAAAAGTCACACAAATAAAAAAATTGACGTGCAATCAAATAATCGTGGGTAAATTCGTATAGAATCGATAAATTACTAAAAGGATATCGGTCACGACTTTTTCAACAATAGCATTTGAAGCTTACCAAGCTTTACAAAAATTTGCCACCTGCGGACCGATTCTCTCTCTTTTGGGCTCGTAACAATAAAAATTTTACCCGCAATCCTATGAAATTGGTACTTCCAAACTTCAAGCGTATGAATCTCTCTTCTTTTAGTGATTCATGCACAAACCGAAGAATCTTCGGACGAACCAAATGTGCATGTGGACATCAAATCCTCTTCTTAATTTTGGTCCCATTGGTACCATATTAGAAGTATGCTGTGTAAATCGAAATTGTGGAGCGCCACACCATCCACGCCCATCTCCCATCTGAACCCACTTCACAAATTCTTTCACCAAACCAAGCGATCGATCAAATCCACAAGTGCCCAACAATCAAAAGCCCATTTGGTCGAACACTCCTGTAGGCGACATTGCTCGGATCAAAGCTATAGCTACTTGTTCTCTCGACTCAAGTCACCGTTCGATCTCCTTGAAGCCAAGAGACTGCACGTCGTTTTGATCGTCAGTGGGGTCTTTGACCCAGAAACTAATGATGGGTTGCTTGGTTCCCAGCTTGTCAACGTTTACGTCAGGTTTGGCCGTCTCGATGATGCGCTCGATGTGTTTGAAGAAATGCCGAAGAAGAGTAATGTTGCTTACAATGCCATTCTTAGGGGATTGGTCGGTGCGGAGCGATTCTTGGAAGCCATCGATTTCTTCCGCTGGATGCTTAGGGAAGAAGTTGTCCCTGATAATTTCACTTATCCGATTGTTCTCAAGGCCTGTTCCAGGTCGAATGACCTCGAGGCGGGACAAAAAGTGTGCGACTTGATCAAGTTTAATGAGACAGAATTTGATGCAAAACGGAATGTTTATGTCGAATGTGCAATGATCGACATGTTTGCTAAATGCGGTAGCTTAACAGAGGCGCGCGATGTATTTGAGGAGATGCCGAGAAAGGATTTAGCTTCTTGGAGTGCAATGATAGGTGGGGCTGTGCGCAACGGGGATTCGCTTGAAGCATTGCGTCTGCTTAAGAGAATGAGGCAGGAAGGGTTAAGACCCGATTCTGTAACTGTGGCAAGCATTTTGCCTGCATGTGGCGTATTGGAAGATGCGCATATGGGAATGACATTGCAGGGATTTGCAGTGAGGAGTGGTTTTGAGAGTGATATATATGTTTCAAATGCTCTCCTAGATATGTACGGCAAATGCAGGCTCACTAATGAGGCACATGCAGTGTTTTGCAGAATCGTGAATAAGGACGCAGTGTCTTGGAGTGCCCTCATTGCAGGTTACTCGCAGAATGGCGAGTATCGTCGGAGCGTGGAGCTTTATCTTGATATGAACAATGTGGGCATAAAAACTAATGTCATTGTTGCATCAAGTGTTTTGCCTGGACTTGGAAAGCTGAAGTTGCTGAAACATGGAAAAGAGATGCACGGCTATATACTTAAACAAGGCTTTGAATCTGATGGTGTTATAATGAGTGCGCTAATCGATATGTATATGAACTGTGGAACGAAAAGAGCAGCAGAGAACATTTTATACACGATGTCTTTTTGTGACATTGTGATGTTCAACTCAATGATTGTTGGTTATTCAATAAACGGCGATTCTGATTCAGCACTCGGTGTATTCCAGAAAATCTGGAAGTTCGATCTCACGCCGAATGCTGTTACAATTCTGAGCATTCTTCCTGTATGTACTGAAATTGGGAATGTTACACATGGAAAAGAAATCCATGGCTACACAATTAGGACTAGTATTGGGGAAGTGGTTTCTGTTGAAAACTCATTGATAGAAATGTATTGCAAGTGCGGACATTTGGAACTCGGAATCAAGGTTTTCAACAGAGTGATGGAAAAGAATATCGTGACATATAACACGATCATCTGTGCTCATGCAACCCATGGTCTGGGAGAGCAGGCGCTCTCATTTTTCGAAGAAATGAAGGGGTTGAGAATGAGACCCAACAAAATTACCTTTATTGGACTCCTTTCGGCTTGTAGCCATGCAGGTTTGGTTGAGAGAGGATGGTGCATCTATGATGCAATGAGAAGCAAATACAAAATTATGCCAGAAAGGGAACACTATTCATGCATGGTGGACCTTCTGGGAAGAGCGGGACAGCTCGACCGCGCATTCAACTTCATCAAGGAAATGCCCGTGGAACCGGATATTAGTGTCTGGGGAAGTTTACTGAGTGCTTGCAGAGCTCATGACAACGTTGTGCTAGCTAGTTTTGTGGGAAGGAAAATCATTGACGAGAACCTGATAGATCCAGGACACCATGTGCTTCTGCACAACATTTATGCGTCCAGCCAGAGATGGCGGGATGCTTCGATTGTCAGGGCGGTGATAAAAGAGAAGGGCTTGTCGAAGACCCCTGGAAGGAGTTGGATTCAGATCGGGTTCAGAATTCACACATTCCATGCAAGAGGCCAGATACATCCAGAGTCGGACAACATCTACCGAGTTTTGGATCTCTTGCTATTGGAGATGAAGGAGAAAGGATACGCACCGGATCAAGGTTCTTCATCAGGGGATCTAATGGAGATAAGTGGCTAGCAACTAAAGTAAAAAAATTATCGGTTGGGTGTAAGAACGCTACCACGAGGACAGGACAACAAGACAAACATAAGTCTGTGATCTGAAAGCGTTCCCTCGAGAAAGAATCTCCTAAAGCTCGGAGCGGAACGGAGGGCTGTTCTGTGAGGAAAAGCAGTTGTAGCTTGCTCCAGTGATTTCGCAGGTCTAGGAGTGGCCCACTCTTAAGGAGTCGCTGGCCGGGTTGAGATAGCTTTTCCAGGGGCTGCCGGTGTTGCACCTAGCTTCGATGCTTTGCCTTCAGGTATATCATAATCTGAACAGGCACAAAGCATACAAAGCATGTTCATTTGTATGCTCCCACAAAAGGCCGACTGATAGTTCTCACACTAAACAACTGAAAGGAACATAATTTGCCAGCACCGGCCAACTAGCAATTGGACGATTTGCTATGCGACAATCCATCCTACTCTTTTTATTTTCCAGAACGTGTGTGTATGTATACATATTGTCAAATTGCTAGAAAGTGAATGAAGACGTCTTTCAAAGTAGTTGCTAGAAAGATGTCACAATCTGTCTACGAGCTAGTGAAAATAATGCGTGCCATTACAAGCTGCGCTGCTTCAAATACCGGAAACCAAATGAAACCACCTGTTTGCTATGAACAGATCCCAATCGTCAAATTCTCCTATAACCTTGTTACCCTCAATGAGCAATATCAAGAACCGAAAATGCCTACCATACCGCCCTCGATGATGGAGATCTAAATATGAGAATGTACAAGCAAAAGCATAAACTATGAAAGATATTTCAGATTAGAAAGATGATTTGTTTCGGGCTCTTCGTATGGTTTACTATCCTCCAGACCTGTCCACAGAGCGGATGCCATTTGCAAACCAGAAGTAGACATGATTTCAAGATAGAAGTCCTCCTTCTAAACACTTCTCCATGACAAGTTTCAGCTGGAGCAGTTGCTCCCTCGCCAACTGCAATCAATATTGAAAAGAAAATTGTCACAAGGCCATATAAAAAACTCCTAATCTTGTCTTGGCTCTAATTTAGTCATGCGTGATCACATGATGTCCTATCACCCTAATCTCTGGAGGATCAGACCGCAAACAACCATAGCATGAGTAGTTGGAGGTACAGAATATTGCAAAAACATCAATCTACATGAAAACAATCGAGATCTAAATAGAGATCAAAGTCCGAGCCACACTTCCTTGTAAGTGAAACAGCCCAATGAGTAGCGCTTCTGAATGTCTACTGGCCGATGAGTGGCAAGTATGGCAAGCTAGGTTCTATAATACATGCTAGGTCAAGATTTAACATGCTTGACGTGCTACCAGTATATTTTTGCTGGCATGAAGTCAAGAAACTTACATTGTTCATGTCCGAGATCCTTTTCTCAGCATCATGGAGTTGGGTCCCAATTGCTTCTTCCAGTTGCGAGATAAGTTTCTTGTGTGAAGCTTCTGAAATTGCAGAGAGTGAAGAGAAGTGTTAGTAACGAAAACCAACAGTATCAAATCTTAAATTTCAACATAGTTGCACCTGCACCCAACTCATTCATTATTATGCAGTGAAGAGAACAACTCAGCCAATTAATACACATCCGTTAAGCCATAGGTCTAGAAGCATATGGAATTAAGTAAAGCTGTGCTCAAAGCACCTTCTTATACTACATGTGGATTTCTCAAAGAACTAAAAGATTTAATCTTATCTGTATTCAGCAGTCAGGCTCTACTGTCAAACTTCGGTCTAAGATTCTTTATTGATGCATCCTTAGACACAAGGATTGTTTGTGAGATCATGAGATCATATTTATCTTCATTTGTCCCAGAAAATCTTGATTTATACCAACATATGTGAATTTCAAGATGACAAAGCATTTCTAAAGTAGTCAGATTAGACTCCTCATGCCTGCTTCATGCAGCAAACCCCACCAGAGCAAAAGAACATACTCTGCTTCTCCATAACTTCTGCCAACTGTATTTTGTTCTTCTCGAGACCTTCGATCGTGCCTTTGAAACTCTGAAGGTGCCTATTTATCTCTTTTATAAAGTTCCCGTGAATTAAATTGAGTTGTTCATCTTGCTCTGCAATTAAGAAGCAAAGAAACGAAGTGATGTGCAAGACTCCTAAGGGAGCAAAGGATGACCAAGGCTACTAAAAAATGTAACCTTCCAAAGGCATGATGCAAACAATGAAACACGTACAATACCCTTAGTGCGACTATAGTATATCCAAAGTCAGATTAAAATAGTAACCAAATTACTGGAGTTATCTTAGCTCTCAGCATAATGTCCCTAGATCACAAGTACATTGTAGATGAAACTTTCTTGACCATGGAAAGGTTTTACCAAATCTTAACTCATGCCAGTGCGAAAGTAGTGACAAGTGCCATTTATGATATGCAAGGATCATATATATATAAGGGTTGTTTTAATATGTAAGGGCCAGATATAATTCTAAATCATGGCAACCTATGATGAAGAAGCTTGTCATCGTGGTCATTTTCATCTGGTGACGTCACCTTCCAACAATCAATTCTACAAGTTACGGGAGGAGGACCTTGACTGTGGACTGTGGTCTTTATTTTTCTTTCACTCTAATAGATAAAAGCCAACAAATGGTTCTACAAAAAGTATTTAAACAATGTGACAGAACAGGACTCTCCATTGATTTGTTTCCACATGTAATGGAAGGATCAAAATTTCACACAGAAAAATTGCCAAAGAGGCACATAGTTCATAGTCGCTAAATGAGAGTAAAATTTTGGAAGTTGTTATGAACATTTAGTCAGTTCTACTTTTCTAATGCTATCGTCGAATAGCATATGACAGCCTGTGAGAATAGTTCTTACCTTGAAATTCTGTTTCTAGACGTTTCCTTTTTTGTTTGTTTAGGCTTTTGAGCTTCCCCCTAAAGGAAGGAAAGAGATATTGTAATGCGCAAGGATATTGACTATTCAGTTAATAAGGCCTAGCTTACGTATACCTACATGTCTGATTGAATTTGAGACTCAACAGTTTGCAGCTGCACACGAATCCTCTCAGTGACGGATGTCAAAATTTCGGCAGACTTCTTTCTGGTAAGTGACTTCAACTTGCTTTTAAGCTTCTCCAAGGCCAAGGCAAGCAATCCAATGTCCCTGAAGAATCATTAAGTATCATGAAATTACGAGTGAGCAGGAAGCAACTCATAAAGAGACTATCCTGTTATGTTAGGAAATTGAAAGAGGGAAAAACGAAGTGAACTTTGTGTATCCATCCTCTGTATTCTCTTCCACTGTATGTCGCCCCAAATTGCTTTCTCCAGTCTCTGCAATTTCAAGATGAGACATACAATTAGTTGAGAAGCTTATGCACGAAGAGAAAACAACTTATAAGGTGTTTGAGACTAGAGAAGGAAGAAAAGATAGTGCAGGCCTAATGCCTTTTGGAGAGATTGAGGCAGGATCAGAATCACGAGACTGAATGCCTTCATCACTGCACTGCCTCTTATTTCTATGCAACATAAACCTCAGTTTCTCAGCAACACCAGTTTTTGGTGAGAATGGCTCCTCTTTGTGAGGACCTGCGGAAGAATGTTATAAGCGGCTAAGAAAATTACTCATGAGGAAGGTCAGCAGATAAAAGAGAAGATAGTAAAAAGGAGAAAACTCCAGAAGGAAAAGGCACAATCCATGGCTACCTGTTTTTTTTTGTGTTTTTTTTTTGGCCAATTTTCAACCGGTTAAGACTAATAAATTATGTAGTGCTTTATTTTACTCCAAATGTTGATCACAAATACTTGATTAAACACTTTATCTAGCATGCATCCAGCACGAGCACCCTCATCAACCCATATTTAAGAAATTAAGCAAATATTTAAGTAGTAGACTATAAGCTACTTCAGTTGGATGATTATAATTCATGCAAATGGGTTATAGTTGTCAGTGAAACTCACCGACACTGCATCTTAAATATCATATCAGTATCCTTAGTTTTCTTAGTTAGTCCTTACTGAAATAAATCTTAGGTTCTACTTAGTGCCAGTTAATCACTCTTGCAAAATTATTCTACTGAGGCAACATGTCTAATCCCAGACGCAATAAGGGGATTTCAAGTTGCCATGTACATAAGGGAACAGATGTTATTATAAATTCAACTTGAATTATTATTTTAGCGATGAATCCAAGAATTTAGCTCTTCTAAACTACTAATGCCTCTCAACAGCCACATGTAATTTTGCATCCTAATTGATTTGATGATATACATCTGCATGACAAAACTATATTTCAGCAGTTATCAAATTTAACCTTAGTTACAGATACACATTTGTCATAAACATCAATTCCTTAACAAGATATGTACAGCAATTGCAAACCCCGATCCCATGATGCTTGCAATCCACGGGGGAATAATATTAGAGCACTAGTTATTATACCGATATCCACCTGTCATCAATTCTGTGATGAAATTTGCAATCAGCAACTGAAGCAATGGGTTCCATGATGGATATACCTTCTTTCTCAGAGCTCTCTGACTCTTTCTCTTCAGATGATGATTCAGATGAGCTATGATCTATGTCATTCTCCTTCGAAAGGACTGCATTTCTCGGAGGAGAATCTGGAAGCTCCTTTGCAACTTCCTGGATGTTTAATAAGGAAGCCAATTGACAGACAAAACTGTATTCAAGTATATAAAGTATAAACATCCTTATCAATGATTCAATATCATCATTAAAAAGCAGAAACACGATAAACAACAGAGGATACAAAAGCTTCAGATTGCACCCTAGATCCATCTTGAAACTTCCTCGAAAGGAAACTCTTGAAGCTGAAGATATCTTCCTTGTCAAAAATTCCTTTTCCTTGCGCAATATTACCAACTTCCTGCTCTGCCTGGTCTTCTTGAATGAATGGACTTGGTGAGGAACCTGCCATCCGAGTTCTTTGAAATGTTGGACTTGGGAAATCATCTTGCCGATCAACATAACCTTTTGGGAATATGTTACCAGTACCTTCTCTCTGGTCC